CAGAAAGAATAAAAAAATAATTGAGCTATGCCGTGACTTTACATTCACAGTAAAGCGGTTTAAGTATAACCTTTAAATAAACACTTTTTTCATATATATATATAATCTGAGGTTGTGCAAAAGCAAAAACTCTGTAATTTTTTACTCTCTCTGTTATCACTTTTTTAAATATTTTACCCTTTTAAACAATGTGTGTTGAATTTGTCAAATTTCTGGTAAGAAAAGGAGGAATGATATAATCTCACAATAAAAGGAAATATAATTTTCTAATTCCTATATCTTGACAACCTGTGTCGATAACCCTTGATTTTTTGGCTATTAGATCATGAAAGTTTTAATTATCCAAGGCCAACATATGGTTGCAAATATATTTGGAGTATAAACTTATAGTTCCTCGAAAACCAATATAAAATAAAAATTATATATGAAGGTTTATCTATTAATTGTTCAAGTATCGTGAAATATCTGTGAACTGCAGGGTGTTCCACAAAACATGATGTCGTCTTAGATTTTTTAATATGATTTTCTACATTAAATCGTCAACCTAATTTTAGAATAAAATTGTAGAAATAATAATCACAAATTTTACCCAGTTTTGGCACTTCCAAAATATGGTCTGCCTTTTTTTGTGCTTTCAATATTAACTGAGATATGAAGAATTACGTTCAGATTTCGACAATTTTGGTTTTATTTTACAAAATTGAAATTGGTACGAAAATTTTAATGTTTCGTGTAATATTGACAGCGAAAAAACTCCAATCCACATTTTGGAAATAACCGGACTAGGATAATTTTGTGGTTAATGTTTCAAGAATCAAAAATGCTACAGTTACGGTAGGTTGACGTCTGAATGTCACAAATAAATTACAAAACCAAAGACGACTTTCAAGTCGTCTATAGCTACTGTCGTGTTTCGTGTAAATCCCTGATTATTTAACTAAATATTTTCTGAAAAAAATGAAGAATGGAAAACCCATTAGAAAGTACAAATTATATTTTCCCTGAAATAAAGTTTAACGATCTTTTGTCCAATTATTTATTACTGGATTGTCGGCAAATTAGTCAATAGAATAGAGATACAGGGTGTCCTAATAAACATGGGAATTCAGTGACGAATTCGGTATCGTCTTTTTAAATAATTCTTTGATTTAGTATAGTGATATATCAGTAGGTATCACTATACTAAATCAAAGAATTATTCAAAAAGACGATATCGAATTCGTCACTGAATTCCCATGTTCATTGGAGGATAGAATAAAGAAACATGAAGGAAAAAATAGAGAAACATGGAGGACAGAGTGGAGAAACATGAAGAATAGAATGGAGAAACATGAAGGATTGAATGGAGAAACATGAAGGATAGAATGAAGAAACATGAAGGACAGAATGAAGAAACATGAAGGATTTAATGAAGAAACATGAAGAATTGAATGGAGAAACATGAAGGATAGAATGAAAAAAACAGGAAGGATAGAATGAAGAAACATGAAGTATAAAATGGAGAAACTGAAGGATAAAATGGAGAAACTGAAGGATTGAATGGAGAAACAGGACGGATAGAATGTAGAAACAGGAAGGATAGAATGGAGAACAAAGAAGGATAGAATGGAGATGCATGACGGATATATGAATGGGTAAACTGAAGGATAGAATGGAGAAACATGAAGGATAGAATGGAGAAACATGAAAGATAGAATGGAGAAATACAAAAGTTCCGATGAAAGATGGAATAAGGATCTAAACGTATTTTCCAACCTTTACTTAAAAGTTTAATATAAAGAAATTCTAAATTCAAGATTTCAAAGAAATTCAAGATTTTAATTTAGAGATGTCTAAACTGAAATAAACATATGTATTTACGAAAAGCATCCTAACACAATTTGTCCATAGCAAACACAGAAGCTGCATTCACAATTTATCCATGAGCAAACACAGAAGCTGCATTCACAANGAGCAAACACAGAAGCTGCATTCACAATTTATCCATGAGCAAACACAGAAGCTGCATTCACAATTTGTCCATGATTAAAGGTTTCCAGATGCGTACATAAAGTGTCCCGCCCAAATTCCGAAGGAAAACTCCAATTGTTAGAAAAATTATTTTTTCATTTTCCTTTAAATCGGTTTAGAAGATGCTGATGTAATCTGACAGGAAAAGGGATTACATTATTTTCAAATATATGAATCTAAAGCTGTCAAGGTGCTCTTCATTCAATAAATCAATTCATGCCTTTTCATCCCACGCGTTCATAGATTTATCGTTAAACAGTAATCTAAAGGATGCTAAAATTGCTGAGAATTTCCCACCTGAGGTAATTTTAATTAAAATTAATTTAATTAATTAATTAAAATGAAGGCTGACTGACCTAGGCATCTTGCACTTTAGCTTTTAAAGAGTTTGCGACAAATTTTTATTTATGCTTGTACTATAGGAAATATACCACGGTAATTTAGATGTAAAATGGGAGGAAGAATTTATTCCGACTTAGAATAGACATTCTTAGATATATTTAGTTTCGCGTGATGCGATTATACCTTATACCTCAATTTTTTAGCATAATCTCGGGATATAACTTAAGGAGGTTTTAATAAGTTATAAAGTTTATATTATTGACCCTGTAATGTATGAAATTTCTCGACACTATAAAACTGGAACTGAGAATAGGAGAATATGAACACACATATGTTTGATCATGTGTTTACAAGCATATTCAGTTCACAGTCGGTAGATTATACCACGACAATTATTCATTTATATCAGTGATTTAAAAACTATAGATTTTAGAGCTACATTCATTTTCAAGAGAATGAGTTAATATTTTATGTAATGAAAGAAAATAAGAGAGAAGGATGAGTGTATGTACATCACTCCTTGTCTCCGGAACTATACAGTGTGTCCCAATAAACACGGGAATTAGAATACAAAATCGAAATCGTCTTTGCTCACAGTGTTCCAAAGATTGCAAGCTCTCACTGCAAAATTAAATGAGAATTTTGCCAATTATTGTTAATTTCTTTTTTAAAACATCCAGTCTTGTATATTCTTCTAAAATTTACTTGTTCATAACTACACAAAGGTGTAAATGAGTTATAAGCATGGTAAAATCAAAGACTAAATCGTTGTGACACTTGGTTTTAGCTTTGGTCTTATAAAGTATTTGGCAAAATCTCATAGATTTTCGCTAAGCAGTAAGCAACCTTAAAATTGGAGTATAGCCTAGCAACAAGGCGTTTTTTGCGGGAGAATATTTTTTATATTTTTGAGAAATCAAATAATCAGTGTACTGTAAGGTAAATATAATTTTAATAAAATCCTTTTATTTAAATGGTAAAACGAAATTTTATGAAATCATATTAGCATTACTGGAGAACTTTTTAAAATATTTTTGAGATTTTTTTTTGTAAAAATAAAACTGTAACATATCATTTTCATGAAATAGTAACACGCAATTGTATGTAACCATATAAGCATTCGTTTATGATGTCAGTACATAATAAAATCTGGGGGAACCTTAAAACTCAACAGACTGCAGTACAAATGTACTTAATAAAATAGTTAGTATAGTATATAGTCTAGACTCTAGGGTATGTTAAAAAAAGGAAATGATGATAATGATAAGCTACAATGTTTTACAAAAAAAGTTAAATTTCTCTAAAATATTAAAAATATTCTCCCACAAAATACGCCTTGTTGCTACACCTAGCATGGTTTCTATACGTTCGGTTTCTATAATGTATGATTTCCTTTAAATGACATTGTGTGTATATGATGTTCTGTAACATATCAACAGATAAAAAGTAAAAAGGAAAAACGTTACTGAGTTTACTAAGTACAACAGGTTTTTAATATGATTTCAGGTTCCTTTTTCATAAAATGCTAGTTACCATAATATCAGAAAATATTTTTCTTATTGCTAAAATTCTTGACTAATAACCAATTGCGGTTTTTAACACAGTCCCGTGTTTTATATAAAACCTCCATGAGAGAGAAGGTGAAGGTCTATTTAAATATGTTCTTTTACTGAGCTCTTTATTCTGGTTGAAAACATGTAAGATATCTTTATTATTTATTCAACCTGACGGAGTTATCCCCTAGTAGCTCCAAATAAAAGTTTTTGGTACGGCAGCTCTTATGATTTTTTCCGGAAATCCGAATTCCCCCTCCAATAAGCTGCACCTCTTTATGTACATATATATTCTAAATAATTTATGCAATGTCTGGTGTGCAAAAACCAATAGTCTAGTTTTGATAACATATTTTCTTTTGTTTTTGCACTGTTTTACTCTTATAGCTGCTGAACACTTTCACATCCATTATTGTTGGTTGCTACTATGTGGCAGATACGTATTGGAAATCTATACTGGAAGTACATGGTTTAATAGTGGCATCACACAGCTAGATTCAACACCATTTTAGAGTTTAATAGTGGCATCACAAAGCTAGATTCAACACCATTTTAGATAAGTGTTTATGAGATTTAATTTGATAAAAGTTAGTTGATAAAATGTTGACTGCAATTAAAACACTGTTTAGATAAAATTAAATAAAAACATTTTTAAGAAAATTTTACAATAATTGGTTTGATGCATCAAGGAAAGTTTTTGATGATAAAAAAGTTGGCGAGCCTTCACTTTGAAATCCATTTTCATCCGTAAAATCCTGTTTTCATATTTACTGTTTGATACTTTTTTACTGGACTATATATTTTAAATATTAAAGTACATAAAGAATTTTAACCTATTTTTAAAGGATTTGGATACAGTCAGGATGTATGAAGTTGTAGGTAGTTTTAAATACTAAATAGACCTATCGGTTCCTACCCTTTAAACATATTTTTTTCCGGAAAAATAACGCTTAAGAATAACAGATAGACATGACTTTTTCAAACACTGGTTCATGTAAACGTAAAGTGGATTAACCAGTGGTTGAACTATGAAATCCACCTAGGGACTATTTTCGTTTATAAATATCGATGCTTAATAACAAATTATTTTCAGAGATGTTGACCGGGACATTTGGTCGGTCATATGTAAGGTAAATACTTAAAGGGACTGTAGACGTAATTTTAAGTGACATTCCATTTACAGAGTGTACTGTCCGATTTACAACAATACCCTTTAAACCTTTGCTTGGTGAAGGATTTCGTTGATATTCTTATCTATATATAGAGGGAAATCAAGTGCCAAGAAACCGCCCAAGTGAACACTAGCATGTAGAGTACAGTGTACTATAAAATTTGAATGAGAATTAAATAAAGAAACTCTGAATAAAGGAACTCAATATAAAGAAGCCAGATTGGATATAATAATACACAACGTTTGCACACACATTTATTTTACATTAGATATTTGATACACACTATAGGATCAACCGAAGTTAATCCTTGAATCATAGATGAAGATATCCGCCTGCTGGCGACCCTCCTCTTTTACTCCTTCATCAAGACTGAACATCTCTCGGGGCATAAAATGGCCGCTGATTATGCTTTCTCGGCCGACAGAATAGTCCATCTACTCCTATCTCTGGGCATAGATACATGATACAAGGACGGGTTCGATTAGTTGTTTGTTGACTCCGGGTTACTCCATGGAACTTTCCATCTAACGGTTAACATTCTCGGAGTTCAACGTTCTTATATTTATGAGACCTCGTGTCCGGATTTGTACAAAGGATTATGGGTTTACAATACACTGCAGTAACATAGAGTCTCCCTGCACTCAATCTTCGGATATACAAATGAGGATCTATCTCATCGTTGTCCGGATAAAGGTTTAAAGGATACCGTTGTGAATCGGACATGCATCGCAATACATGAAAGGTCACTTGAAATCCATTCTCTTTAATTTAGTTAATTGTATTTTTTATGTATTTGTCATAATTATAATTATAATTGTTTGATAATGATTACTCTATAAACCAATTTTTATGTTTATAATATTTCAATTCTTTCAATGTACATTTTGTAGCAAAATAAATATTGAAAAGGGGTTAGGGAAAATGTAAAGGATAGTTTATATACATATACTATGCTCCACATGCATACAGAGGACATTTCGTGAGGTTTGTTAATATCTTTTATATATTCAATTAGTTGTTTCTAAAAAATTAATCCAGAAAAATCGGAAATGAATATTCGTCTCTTTTTAATTTACGAGTTTTAAAATTCAAAAAGAGAATGCGTGTTATTGTCTATTTCTTTGGAACCCAATTTCGTAGACCTTTGATATTTCAAACTATGAATCTGTGAATATCAAAGGTTTACAATATCATGTTGCAAAAATATAGGAATTTAAAAAATTGAGTTTGTGGTAGCAACTTAGTATAATTGATAATTAATATGTGTAGAAGAATGTCTACAGAAAGCTGGGTGCTAGGACCATACAACTGGATCTCTGGAAGGTTTTTCATTTAAAACTTTAATCAAAATTTTAATTAGTAAATTAATTAGATTGTGAAAGCAATAGATTAATAATAGATAGAACACTAGATGTCGTCTTTTCAATATTTATGGGTTTTTCGTTCACAATAACCCTGAGGCAAAAGCCCAAAGTAGTTACGCGCATGTCACGTTGAATTATAAAACAAAAGAGAGAGCATGCGTGTAACTCCTTTTGGCTTCTGCCTCTGGGTGATTGAAAACAAGACAAAAACCTAAATCTTGAAAAGATGACATCTAGCGTCTCATCTTTGTTGTAATTAATTTCTGGTGAAAGATGAGAGATTTTCTATTGTAGACGGTGTTCTCCTAGTAGTGTAGAGAGTCACTTTGTAAACCTTGAACCTAGAACAGGAAAACCTCTGGCGCATATTCCTGTTTCCGGTCAGGAGGAGGTTGACCGGGCTGTAGCTGCAGCCAGGTACACTATAAACTAGACAGAATGATATTACTGGTACGACTCTGTGACCTCGTAGCTTCTTAAGTTTTGATTCTACTCACAATATTTGTCCGGTTATTCATATTACAAATTCAAAACAGTTTTGTTCTTCTTGAGATGTCTTGAACAAGAGGGGTTATGGTATGAGTGTGAATTGTGCACGTGACTCTTCACAGAATGTTAAATGAAGTTAGGCCAACAGTGTTAAAAATTAACAGTTATTTTCACTCTCTAGAGCATAATAAACGATTCACAAAGATACCCATTAACCCTTTGTATTGGTGTGTGTACAGTGTAGTCCTATGAAGATGATACGTTTGTTTTATCTGAAATCTATTTCTTTCTAAATCAAACTAAAAAGTGTCAACAGCCTAATATTTAATCCTTCAAGATTTTTTTGGTGTTAAAAAAAATATTTTAAAAGGAGTATTCTTGTAGGGTAAATCCTATAAAATATATATATACATCTATAAAATCTTATTCAAGGAATTTATTTCCTATTGGGATTTGAAGCTTTTAACAAAAAAGAAAATGTTTGAGAAAAAATTTGAGAAAAAATTGTAATAAACTTTGTAGTCGACTCTATAATCTATTACATATACTTTGGCTATTCGTATGTCTGGTTGTTTGACTGTTTCTTTGTAATATGTCTGTTTGTTTGACTGTTTTTTTGCTATATGTCTAGTTGTTTGACTATTTCTTTGTTATATGTCTTGTTGTTTGACTGTTTCTTTGTAATATGTCTGTTTGTTTGACTGTTTCTTTGTAATATGTCTTGTTGTTTGACTGTTTCTTTGTAATATGTCTGTTTGTTTGACTGTTTCTTTGTAATATGTCTGTTTGTTTGACTGTTTCTTTGTAATATGTCTGGTTGTGTGACTGTTTATTTGTAATATGTCTGGTTGTTTGACTGTTTATTTGTAATATTTCTGATTGTTTGACTGTTTCTTTGTAATATGTCTGGTTGTTTGACTGTTTATTTGTAATATGTCCGATTGTTTGATTGTTTCTTTGTATTTAGTCTGGTTGTTTGACTATTTCTTTGTAATATGTCTGGTTGTTTCACTGTTTCTTAGTAATATGTCTGGTTGTTTCACTGTTTCTTTGTAATATGTCTGGATGTGTGACTGTTTCTTTGTCATATTTCTGATTGTTTGACTGTTTCTTTGTAATATGTCTGGTTGTTCGACTGTTTATTTGTAATGTGTCTGATTGTTTGATTGTTTCTTTGTATTATGTCTGGTTGTTTGACTGTTGTAATATGTCTGGTTGTTTGACTGTTTTTTTGTAATATGTCTGGTTGTGTGACTGTTTCTTTGTAATATGGCTGGTTGTTTGACTGTTTCTTTGTAATATTTCTGATTGTTTGACTGTTTCTTTGTAATATGTCTGGTTGTTTGACTGTTTATTTGTATTATGTCTGATTGTTTGATTGTTTCTCTGTATTATGTCTGGTTGTTTGACTGTTTCTTTGTAATATGTCTGGTTGTTTGACTGTTTCTTAGCAATATGTCTGGTTGTTTGACTGTTTCTTTGTAATATGTCTGGTTGTGTGACTGTTTCTTTGTAATATGTCTTGTTGTTTGACTGTTTCTTAGTAATATGTCTGGTTGTTTGACTGTTTCTTTGTATTATGTCTGGTTGTTTGACTGTTTATTTGTAATATGTCTGGTTGTTTGACTGCTTCTTTGTATTATGTCTGGTTGTTTGACTGTTTCTTTGTAATATTTATGATTGTTTGACTGTTTATTTGTAATATGTCTGGTTGTTTGACTGTTTTTTTGTAATATGTCTGGTTGTTTGACTGTTTATTTGTAATTTGTCTGGTTGTGTGACTGTTTCTTTGTAATGTGTCTGGTTGTTTGACTGTTTATTTGTAATTTGTCTGGTTGTTTGACTGTTTATTTGTAATTTGTCTGGTTGTTTGACTGTTTCTTTGTAATATGTCTGGTTGTTTGAATGATTATTTGTAATATGTCTGGTTGTTTGACTGTTTATTTGTAAAAAAAATTTCTTTAAAAAATTAACTTCAATGAAAAGAAGAAAACCTGCTAATATTTTACTTTTATTATTTTTAAATGTTTGAAAGGCTTATAATCCTCGCTTGTAATAGAAAGACGAGCAGAAGAACTTTTTTTTACCGTAAGTAGGGCGCGAAACATACTTTATAAGCCTCGTTTACTATAAAGATAGATATCTAAACAAGTTTTAACAATTTTCAACAGTTTAATTTTTTCCTTGCACGCAACCGCACATCTTTAAATTTAAAAAAGAATCTAAGAATATCCAAATCCAAGAACATCATAATAAGAATATCCATGAATAATGAATACAAGAATATCCATGAATAATGAATACAAGAATATAATTGAATATTGAATACAAGAACATCCATGAATAATGAATACAAGAATATCCATGAATATTGAATACAAGAACATCCATGAATAATGAATACAAGAATATCCATGAATAATGAATACAAGAATATCCATGAATATTGAATACAAGAACATCCATGAATAATGAATACAAGAATATCCATGAATAATGAATCCAAGAATATCCATGAATAATGATTATAAGAATATCCATGAATATTGGATACAAAAATATCCAAAATTATTGAGTACAAGAATATCCAAGAATAATGAATACAAGAATATCCATGAATTTTGAATATAAAAATATCCATGAATATTGAATACAAGAATATTCATGAATAATGAATACAAGAATATCCATGAATATTGAATTTATATTGAATACAAGAATATCCATAAATATTGAATACAAGAATATCCATAAATATTGAATACAAGAATATCCATGATTAATGAATACAAGAATATCCATGAATATTGAATCCAAGAATATCCATGAATACTGAATACAAGAATATCCATGAATAATGAATGCAAGAATATCCATGAATATTGAATACAAGAATATCCCATCTCTGATATTTAGAAATCCATTGGTCCAATTAGTGTATGCATGCAAGAGTCTATCTGATTTAAATAAAATTTTTAGAGAAATTCTTTTAAAAATATCTTTACTTAGGATGCCTCTAGTTTATCTTATAAAACATAAACATAAAAACGAATACAATGCATTTTTAAAGTAATTGTTTTTATTTTTTTTTTAAAAACTTTTACATTTTAAGAGAGGTGAAAAGGTAGGATGAATAGAAATGAACTTATTTTCCCAAACAAATTTTGAAACTTTATCTCTATTTTGCTAGATACTTTAGAACTTTTATCTCTATTTAGCTAGATACTTTAGAAACTTTATCTCTATTTAGCTAGATACTTTAGAAACTTTATCTCTATTTAGCTAGATACTTTAGAACCTTTATCTATATTTAGCTAGATACTTTAGAAACTTTATCTCTATTTAGCTAGATACTTTAGAACTCTATTTAGCTAGATACTTTAGAAACTTTATCTCTACTTAGCTAGATACTTTATGAACCTTTATCTCTATATAGCTAGATACTTTAGAAACTTTATCTCTATTTAGCTAGATACTTTAGAAACTTTATCTCTATTTAGATAGATACTTTATAACCTTTATCTCTATTTAGCTAGATACGTTAGAACCTTTATCTCTATAGATACTTTAGAACCTTTATTGGTCTATTTTTTCAAATATATCTTAATAAACCAAATGTAAGTTTGACCAAATTGAAATGGTGGACATTTTAAGTTGACCAAATTTGAATAAACCAAAAGAGAATTCGATCAAATGTAAATTGACCAAATGTATACCGACCAAATGTATACAGACCAAATGTATACAGACCAAATGTAAATAGGCCAACTGTAAATTGACCAAAAGTAAATAGGCCAACTGTAAATTGACCAAATGTAAATCGGCCAACTGTAAATTGACTAAATGTTGCACTTTAGCCAAACCATTCATAAATAAATTTACTCTTTTCTATTTCATATCTATTTAGATCGGCATTTCCTGGATGGGCGGCTTTATCTGGTATGGAGAGAGGTCGTATTTTAACCAGGAACAGACATAGATCTTGTATCAGCTGGACAATTATACAGCTACAGGGTGTTCCGTTAAACATGAACATTGAGAGACGAATTGAAGATTGTCTTGAATACAACGTTGTGATACTTACTTGATACTTGTGTGTTGATCCTCAGTGTTCCATCTAGGAATATGTAGAGTATTTTTTTAGGAACTAATGATCATCTGCTGGAAGAATGGTATCTTCTAGGTTTGTGAATTGATCCCAGTGATCATTGTGGATCTAATGTAGTAGTCATACTTGTTTTTGAATACATTAATATTTTTGGCGGATTTAACATCTTGTGGTAATTTATTCCACGAGTTTACAACTCTATTACTAAAGCAATTCCTTCTCAGTTCTAGTTTTGAGTTTTTTGGTTTCAGGTTGAGTATATCAGCAGATTGTCTTGTTATGCGTTCACTAGTTTCAGCCACATGCTGGAACCACAGGGATTTGTCAACATCATTCTGTATCAAATCAGATCTTTCACGTCTGGCTTCTAAAGTTTGTAGTCCTAATTCTTTAAGTTTTTCTTCATATGTGGAGCCCTGAAGCCCTGAAATAATCCTTACTGCCTTGCGTTGTACATTTTCTAGTTTGTCTTTGTCCTGTTGGGTCCAGGGTCTCCAACTTGATACAGCAAATTCCATGTGAACACGAACATACTGTTTGTAAAGTTTTAGGAATATATTTCTGTCCCTGAAATGGAAGGCTCTACAAATTTGGCCAAGAACTTGATTGGCTTTGTTTGCTGCAGCTGAGCATTGTTGGGAAGGTTTCATTGTGTCGGAAATCAGAATACCTACATCTTTTTCTTCTGAGGTTTTCTGAAGTATCTGTCCATTCATGGTGTAATTGTGTTGTGGGTTATTTTTCCCAATATGCATCACTTTACATTTGTCGAAGTTGAACACCATTCCCCATCTCTCTGCCCATTTGTGGAGCTCATTGAGTGATTCTTGCATATCTAAAATACATTGATCATCAAGGATTATTTTTGCAGTTTTTGTGTCATCAGCAAACTTTTTAATCAGTGTTACTAGATTCCGTATTGGATCATCAAGATCATTTATATAAATAGTAAATCCAACCGGTCCCAAGATGCTTCCTTGTGGTACTCCAGATTCAACTTCCATCCATGCAGAATATTTACCATTCAAGACCACTCTCTGTCTTCTGTCACTTAACCAGGATTCAATCCAGTTCAGAAGATTTCCATCAATACTATGAGCTCTGAATTTTGTTACAAGGCGTTTTCTAGGGACCTTGTCAAAGGCTTTTGCAAAGTCTAGGTACACAATGTCTACATTCTGACCTGAGTCAAGTGCTTCAGTGATGGTTTCCAGATATTCAAGTAAGTTGGTCTGACAGGACTTATTGTTCATAAATCCATGTTGACTAGGATTTATCAGTTTATTTTTAGTTAAGTTAGTTGTGAAACTTATAAACGTTTTACAATATCATTTACCTTCTTTGCACTTGTTGGATGCTTAGACAATTTAGAGTACAGTATACACTATACAGTATACTATAACTTGATATGTCATCTCTGTTAATTCAATAAGCAAAAAAGGTGGACTTGTTCAAATTTAAACAACTATACGGGTACGTGTACAACTAGACAACTTTAGTGCTATACAACTATACAGGTTCGTGTACAAATAGACAACTATAGAGCTATACAACTATACAACTATACAACTGTATAATTATATAATTATTGAGCTATACAACTAGGGAACTATAGAACTATACAACTATATAGCTTTACAACTATACAACTATAGAGCTATACAACTATACAACTATAGAGCTATTCAATTAGACAACTATAAAGCTAAATAACTATACAACTATACAAACTATACAGGTACATGTACAACTGGACAACTATAGAGATATACAACTATACAACTATACAAACTATACAGGTACATGTACAACTAGACAACTATAGAGCTATGCAACTAGACAACTATAGAGCTATACAACTATACAACTATATAGCTATACAGGTACATGTACAACTAGACAACTATAGAGCTATTCAACTATACAACTATACAAACTATACAGGTACATGTACAAGTAGACAACTATAGAGCTATACAATTATACAACTATAGAGCTATGCAGCTATAGACAACTATAGAGCTATACAACTAGACAACTATAGAGCTATACAACTAGACAACTATAGAGCTATACAACAAGATAACTACACAAACTATACAGATACATGTACAACTAGACAACTATAGAGCTATACAACTATATAGCTATAAAACTATATAAATTTTCTAATGCCTTTATCTTTGCAATCTGATGTTGTAAACCTTTAATATTTCAAACTTAGATTGAATGAACTAACAGAATTTATAGTTAAAAATATTTAAGGACTACGACAGTGGGTTGCAAAAGTGTAATAATTAGAACATTTTTTGACAAAAATTTAACTCCTTTATCTAAGTCTTTTTAACACTATTTAAGCATAAAAAGCTGTTTTAATAAAAATGAATTTACATTCCTCTCTCCAAGGCCAAGCCCTCATTTCCTACATCAAACTAATTGAATTCACACCTTTTGAATTGAGCTCATAGAAAACCGGTTTTTCACCAAACATTAAGCTTTTTTATCTGGGGATTTCAATGCAAATTAATTTTTCCTTTTTTCCTTTATCATTAGATTTATTTTTTGCTTTATCATTAGATTTATGTTTTGCTTACCTCAGCAAAAAAAAACACTGACTTTACAACTAAAGTTTACAGTTATTACAGAGATAAAAATGATAAACTATCTAAAAGTTTTGTCGAATTAAAGGGAGTTCAGAAAAAAAGTCATTCTTGAAATAAATGTTCTAACTAAAATTTATGACATTTTTACCAAAAAAGCAATCTTCTTTTGAATATTTTATTATGAAAATGAATTAAATTAGATAGGATCACTGTTTAGTAAATATCGTTGCCACCGGATTTGGCGCATTGATGCCATTTTATTGCAAAATCTAAATGATGACTTAAAGCTAAAATTATTTCGAGAAAGTTAACTGAATGATTTAAGTTTTGACTGTGATATTGCAATTTAGGGAATTTACTGCCTAAAATGCTTCGTTCTTTGCTACAAATGTAATTTTTCTAATTAAGGGCATAAAAAAACTAAGAAAAGGGACTGTAGACGTAATTTCAAGAGACCCTCCATTTACAGCGAGGCACGGGCAGCCGCAGTACATTTGAATTTCCGAGCCGGGTCAACCCTTCCGGTCCCAGTTTGTACTGTATCACTTGGATATGTTAGGTCTTAAAACATTTCTCTTTATTCAAAATAAAGGTTCCTCTCCTCAATTCCGAGTAGATTGAACAAAAAATGTTTTTAAAGAAAAATTCAAATCCTGAGAAAACCCTAACTCACAATTTGCTTAATGAATGTTCGGCATTGTACTCATAATTCCAGATATGCAAAAAATTCCTATTAATTCATTCATTCATGTATTCATCCATTCTCATTCTCCCTCTCTTCAATATTTGGAGGATATTTTGATGCATAGAAAACTAAATTAAAATCAAAAATTTAATGTTTGATGTTTCAAATCCACTCAGGGCAAATTATTTTCTAATATAGAGGAACCACGGAGTAATTTTATTTGGTATTAATTACTGAAATAAGTTGAAGATCTCTAGTTGAAGATCTCTAGTTGAAGATATCTAGTTGAAGATCTCTAGTTGAAGATATCTAGCTGAAGATATATAGTTCAAGATCTCTAGTTGAAGATATCTAGCTGAAGATATCTAGCTGAAGATATCTAGCTGAAGATCTCTAGTTGAAGATCTCTAGTTGAAGATCTCTAGTTAAAGATCTCTAGTTGAAGATATCTAACTGAAGATATCTAGTTGAAGATCTCTAGTTGAAGATATCTAGCTGAAGATATCTAGTTCAAGATCTCTAGTTGAAGATATCTTGCTGAAGATATCTAGCTGAAGATATCTAGTTGAAGATTTCTAGCTGAAGATCTCTAGCTGAAGATCTCTAGTTAAAGATATCTAGCTGAAAGTCTCTAGCTGAACCTCTCTATCTGAAAATCTCTATTTGAAGATCTCTAGTTGAAGATCTCTAGCTGAAGATCTCAGCTGAACATCTCTATCTGAAAATCTCTAGTTGAAGATCTCTAGTTGAAGATCTCTAGTTGAAGATCTCTAGTTGAAGATATTTAGTTGAAGATCTCTAGTTGAAGATATCTAGTTGAAAATCTCTAGTTGAAGATCTCTAGTTGAAGATTTCTAGCTGAAGATATCTAGCTGAAGATCTCTAGTTGAAGATATCTAGCTGAAAGTCTCTAGCTGAACATCTCTATCTAAAAATCTCTAGTTGAAGATCTCTAGTTGAAGATATCTAGTTGAAGATCTCTAGTTGAATATCTCTAGTTGAAGACCTCTTGCTGAAGATCTCTAGTTAACGATCTCTAATTGAAGATCTCTAGTTTAATATCTCTAGATGAAGATCTCTAGTGGAGGATCTCTAGTTAAAGATCTCTAGTTGAATATCTCTAGTTGAATATCTCTAGTTGAATATCTCTAGTTGAAGATCTCTAGTTGAAGATCTCTAGTTGAAGATCTCTAGTTGAAGACATCTCTAGTTGAATATCTCTAGTTGAATATCTCTAGTTGAAGACCTCTTGCTGAAGATCTCTAGTTTAATACCTCTGGCTGAAGATCTCTAGATGAAGATCTCTAGATTAATATCCTTAGCTGAAGATCTCTAGTGGAGGATCTCTAGCTAAAGATATCTAGTTGAAGATCTCTAGCTGAAGATCTAGTTTGAGTATAGAGCTGCTGCACTTATCCGTGAAAGATCTGAAGAACTAGCGGAGCTTGATGTAAAAGACAATGGAAAACCAATCTGGGAGTCTAGGATGGATCTAGATACAGTTACAGGTACTACAAACCACACCATATATATAGTATCATGTCATATCATATCATATCATATCATATCATATCATATCATAGTTTACTTTAAAAAGATTATCTGGTTCCTAATGGTTGAAAAGTTTCAAGTGATTGAGTACACAAACATTATTTTTAATCCTTTATATTTTCTTCCAACTATATTTTTATATATTTTTAATTTGTAGTGGAGAACTGAGAGCAAAGTTGAAAGTGTAAGATTAAGATTTTTAGAAAGTTGTGATATTTTGTTGCTTCAAAGTGTTTCTACTCTTAGAATTCTGAATAATGTGACAAATTTACATTTTCCGGAAGTAAGGATGAGGGGGGGGGGGGGTTTGTAAAATATAAAATTATGTAAACATGGAGTATCCAAACCTTCATAGATATTTATGTTATACAAAAATTTATTTTAAACGTTAAGTTTTTGTAAAAAATAAAGAACATGCAGGTTTAACCACAATTATAAAAAACAATAAATTTTATTTTTATTTTGTACAAAACGTTTTTCGGACACGATAACATTTTCTCACAAATATTAATGATTGTTATCAAGGTTTTAAATAAGACTTTAAGTTCTAAGAATGTGGTTTTTTAAAATTTTCATGCTTAGTTGATCATCTTTGTTAGTAAAGAAAAGTGAGCTGTGTAGTTGCTAATGAAATGAGTCTTTGGCATTAACTCAAAATATCTAATCCCTATATCTTTGCAACCTGATGGTGTAAACCTTTGATATTTTAAACTAAGATTATGTGATCTAACAGAATTCATAGTTTGAAATAACAAAGGTCGATGACATTGGGTTGCAAAGATATAGAGATTAGAAAATCTGAGATCGATGGCAAAGACTCAATTCCTTTACAACAACAAAGGAATTGAGTCTTTGCCGCAAACTCTGATTTTCTAATCCCTTTATATTTTCAACCCAATATCTAGACCTATGATATTTCAAACTATGAAAACTGTTGATCAAATAATCCAAGTTTGATTTATCAAAGGTTTACACATTCCGGTTGCAGTTGTTATAGGGTTCAGAAAATTTGGGTTTGTGGCAAAAACTCAGTTCATTTGTTTTTAAGAAGGCTATTTCTTTTTAATTAAAATTACAAATAATAATTGATAAAAATAGTTTCCACAATTTTCTAAATCATTAATTTCAAATCACTTTACAACATCATATAGCTCATAGCTAAATCCGCTTAGAATCAATAATACATAATGGTATTCAACCATGGCTGGGAACTTTTAAATGGTGAATATTGGGATTAATAATAGATCTAATCTTTTTCTTAATCTCCAGATTAAATAAGGCTTGTTCTCCTCTTATTATTTTAATCTCCAGATTCAGTAATCGATCGGGATTAAGAACATCCCATTCTAAAGTTTTAGTTCAGACACCTTTTTATTAAAAACTCACTTGAATCTTACTCTTAAGCTTCTAAGAGGGAATCTGAATAAAATGTAATTAATATTAAGATCTGGCATCTAATAAAATTTGTACCCTAAAAGTTATGTTTCTGTAATCCAATTATTTTAACATTTGATATTAATATTTTTATAAACATTCAAAGCAGGGAACTTTAGAATGGTGGATATCGGGATTAATGCTTAATCTCCAGATTAAATAATGCTTGTTCTCCTCTTATTATTTTAACCTCCTAAGCTTGGAACTTTAGAATGGATAACCTTTAATCCCAACTACTTAATCCGAATATCCACTGTGGAAACTTTTAATTTTAGTCCTTAAACCAATCTTTTTCTCTCTCTTTGGATATCCGTACATTATTTTCTCCAATGAGAGTGCAGGAATATAGTTCGTAAATTGTATTGACCAATGACAGCCTTGATAATAAATTCTATTCCATGAGAGAAATCCGCAATTTCTACGAAATAAAGAATTTGTTGTCGGCCATTTTGTAAATTAGTTGGTGAAGAAAAATATTTAATAATACGTTTAAGATTCTTTTGTAACCAATTTTAACTAATGTATCAATAAATAAATGGGTGAGAAATTAAGTGAAGGCCCTTCCAGTCAAGAAAACGAACCAATCTGGCGTTCCTAGAATCCAATTTGTTGATCTTAATATTTAATCTGAAGACTAACATATTCTCGAGATTATGTTAGTCTCGAGATCAGCAAAAACAGAGGATCAAGCATTAATCCTGATATCCACCATTCTAAAGTTCCCAGCTCTGAGCTGAAAACTTTAGAATGGTGGATATCGGGATTAATGCTTGATCCTCTCTTTTTTGATAATCTCAAGATTAACATAATCTTGCAAGATTATCTTAAAAGTGTATGAAAAACGATAAAATTCAAATTAATATTTAATCATCTGAGAAACTGTAGCCGCCAATCAGAGAAAAGCGGGCAACCAATGAGAGAACAGAAATATTCTCATTGGAGAAAACAATTAACGGATATCCAAGGAGAGAGAAAAAGAGTGGATTAGGACAAAAATGAAAAGTGGTTATTCGGATCAAGAAGTCAGGATTAAAGTTTATCCATTCTAAAGTTTCCAGCTCAGATTATGTAACCGATCGGGATTAAGGATATCATCCTTAATATTAAAAACTAACTTGAATCTTAATCTTAAGTTTTTAAGAGCGAATATGAATAAAATGTAAAAAATATCAAGATCTGTCATTTAATAAAATTTGTTTTCTTGTACCTTGATAGCCACGTTTCTGTAATCCAATTATTATAATATTTGATATTAATATTTTATAAATATTCAGGTTGAGTAGAAAGTGGATTTATAGCGTTTTTAATACAAAAATAGTTTTCAGGATTTATGTCTTTTTTTGAGGTGAGGGACATATTTAAATGCAGTGATCAAAGTTTAAAAATATTTTGTCTGACAACCAGCAAAATAAAATTGGCAAAACAAGTTTAGTTCTGAAATCAATTAGAATAAAATTGGCAAAACAAGGTTAGTTCTGAAATCAATTAGAATAAAATTGGCAAAACAAGTTTAGTTCTGAAATCGATTAGAATAAAATTGGCAAAACAAGTTTATTTCTGAAATCAATTAGAATAAAATTGGCAAAACAAGTTTATTTCTGAAATCAATTAGAATAAAATTGGCAAAACAAGTTTAGTTCTGAAATCAATTAGAATAAAATTGGCAAAACAAGTTTAGTTCTGAAATCAATTAGAATAAAATTGGCAAAACAAGTTTATTTCTGAAATCAATTAGAATAAAATTGGCAAAACAAGTTTAGTTCTGAAATCAATTAGAATAAAATTGGCAAAACAAGTTTATTCCTGAAATCGATTAGAAATATTAATTCAATAATCATCTTCAAAAGTTTCATAAAAATGTCTTAATTGATAAATAAAAGAGTAATGACAAAAAAATCGCAGAACAAATCTGCTCCAATTCTTGGAAAGATGGCAAAATGAAACTTTCCCTTAAAATAACTATCACATTCAAAATGATTCAATTCATAAAAGGGAGAATTTTCTAACAGTAAATACATTATTGATGTGTTGGAACATTAAGATTTGGTTAACATTTGCAATGACAATTTTTCCGGATTGTTTAAACCCAATTGTTTGTATCTTTGACAGCTAAAGTGACACTCCAGAGCAATACCATTGCACTCCAGTAGCTTTAGCAACTGGAGTGCTAAGATTGCCTGACGTACTATGGTGGAATAGGAGTATAGTATAGTAGGATATCATATATTATTAAGGTTGCCTGGAGTACTATGGTGGAATTGCTCCAGGAGTAGTTGGGCAACATGTGAAGCTTGCCGGTGGATCCTGGGCTTCTGTATCTAGAGAACCCATCGGAGTAATAGGTAGGTTTCAATCATACTCTTTTCTTCATTCTTGGAACAATTAATGAATTTCAATGATATAATTAGGAGGAGTAGGAGCTTGGAATTATCCTCTACAGTGTTGTGCTTGGAAAGTTGCTCCAGCACTTGCCTGCGGAAATACATTTGTTTATAAACCTAGTCCACTTACTCCACTCTCAGCAGTAGTACTAGGAGAGATATTACAGGTATACATCTAGTTCTCTTACTCCACTCTAGCAGTACTAGGAGAGATATTATAGGTATACATCTAGTCCACTTATTCCACTCTCATCAGTAGTACTAGGAGAGATATTACAGGTATACATCTAGTCCACTTAATCCACTCTCAGCAGTAGTACTAGGAGAGATATTACAGGTATACATCTAGTTCTCTTACTCCACTCTAGTAGTACTAGGAGAGATATTACAGGTATACATCTAGTTCTCTTACTCCACTCTAGTAGTACTAGGAGAGATATTACAGGTATACATCTAGTCCACTTACTCCACTCTAGTAGTACTAGGAGAGATATTACAGGTATACATTTAGTTTTCTTACTCCACTCTAGTAGTGTTTCGCTACTTAGCGAATTCCCTAAAGACCTAATGAAATCT